TCATTTCAGAAGAAAATGTAGAATTTAAAGAACAAATTGACCTCATTGCACTGACTATAGTGAAAGAATCCCAGACCACATAACTACTGTTTGATACTGAATTGCGATTGCCTCTGACCCTGGGCTATGCTGGAAACAGGAGCATACTGACCTTCCCCCAGGGTCAAAGAGTTAGCCCAGAGTGTTTCCTGGGCAAAGACACCTTAACAATTTCATGAGCTCATGTTTTAGCTTCCTGATAGAAAGTGACCTATTTAAATATAAAATGCTAAACTAATACCATATTTCTTTGAGAGTGCATCTGAAGAGCAAACAGCAAGAGAAATTAGGAAATTACAGTTAACATAAGGCTGTAATAATAAAATAAAGATTTTGTTACTCTACATGTATAAGTCCATGATTTATAGCCATGTGATACTGGTAATTTACAATATATTAAAATTAGGTAGAAGTTCATGCAGGTTGAGTCTTTTTAATTTCCACAAGGTTGTTGGAAGACAATGTTCAGTCTGATGGTGCTTTATTTCAATTGGTGAATTTTTCTTTCATGAAACAAACTAGATGAATCCTACTTAGATATCATAGATCAATTTTAATTTTATGGGATCTAGATGTAGGTATAGAATTGTTAAGGTTTGTGTGTAGATGTTACCCCAAAGCCTCATGCAGTCATGGGAGCAGACTTCTAGGGTTTGTGATTGATTTTAGCACAATGCTGAAATTATGGGTGTGAGTGCTATACCGCCCTGGGGTATAGCCTACATATATTATAAGGCAAGAAAAGACACTTGCTTGAGCGCTCCTCCCCTTTTGCTCTTGTTGCTTCTGCTGTTTTCTGTTGCCATGAACTGTTGCCCTCTGCCATGTGCCAGTCTGCCTTGGAGCCAGCTGAAGTATGTACTGAAACCTCCACAAACTGTGTGAGCAAAATAAAACTTTTCTTCCTTAATTCTGGGTGTCAGGTACTTTGTTTTACCAATGAGAGAAAAGTAGCCAAGACAAGAACTGTCTCTTTTCTAGGACCACTTGCTGCACAATTATTACCAAGAATACAGAACCTTCTCTGAGTCACAGTGCTGAGATGTTTTACTGCTCAGTCCTGAGTGTAACCTTGTGTCATAAACACCAGCACCATGACCATGTTAGAAGTCAGATATATATTCCCCCAGGTTAATGTATTTTGAAAGATCACTGAAGTTACTAAGTGTCAAAGATGTCACTGAAACCCAGATCAGCACTGTCCCTCTGGAGCAGGTTGTCCTCCTATCTTGTATTTGTCTTCATATCTTGAAAATGAGGACAGATACCGCTCACGTTGCTCCACCTTGAGAGAAGCTAGTGACTGCCTGACTGAATGAACATGAAAGAGAACCACATACATCACAGAGGCTTTCTCTCTCTCTCTCTCTCAGACTGTTCTCATTAAATGGACTTCCCAGTACTTAATGTATATAATGATTAACAAACTCACTTTAAAACTTCAGAGGCCACCAACTAAAGAGTGCATAATTACAGCTGGATAGAGTTTTAGACCCATTTATTCATTTCATAAAATGTTCTACTCTAAGAAAAACTTTGCCTCATTCTCTCTTGTAATTTTTCCACTTACTAGGGATTCTGTTTCCCATTTTAGGAGAAGAGGACCTTTCTTAAAGTGATAGCCATAGAGTGACTGAAACTTGGAAGCCTGAGCAATTTTGTTTGAAACTGATCAAAGCTGCTTTCATGCTGATATGATGCTACATTTTCTAGCATCTGCTTAATTTTCCTGTTCAGTCCCCTGGCCCATGTGTGTCTCCTCTGATGGAACCAGAGCTCTGCCTGCTGCGGGCTGCTCCTGCCTTGTTCCTGCTGGTTTTCTCCTTTACCTTCAAACCCCTTTGTCGGTCTGAGCTCAGATCCATTCCCGCTGCCTCCCGACCTCTAGCGCAGCCCTCACTGTTTTCGCAAGGAGCCCTGTAATGACTCTGATCCACAGCACTTTTTATAACACTAGCTCTGAACTTACTTCAGAAGCATAGAATTCACATCTATCTTGAGATATCAGTTACATGGCTTGTTCTTTTCATCACAAATCAGACAACAGGCTGTCAATTACTTCATGAAGAAAAAGCCACTGGTCTTTGTCCAACATGATATGTAAACCCCTGACTCCCAGTCCTCATGTAGTTTTAATAATGTGGCTTTTTCCCCCCATATACACCTCACAGCTTTCCCCTTGCTATCAGCACAATTATTTTGTAAAACCTAGTAGGAAGATATTTTAATTGTCTCTATACACTGTTTCAGTTCAAAAAGAGACATTCAGTTACAGTGATTCCCTCACCTGTCTTGGGAGTTACATTCCAGAGACCCTCACGATAGATGAAAATCTTCAAAGTAGCAGCAATATATTATTTTGTTATTTATATATATATTTAAGGCTTTATAAACCCTTCCCACACTACTATAAACTTGTCCTACTCTCCTCTTAATCTTTCCTACACTATTATAAACACTTCGTATGTTTTTAAACATTTTCTACACTCTTAAACCTACATAATTTTAGCAACATCGTAGGGCTTGAAATAAATTCAAACTTTTAGGGAAGTTTCACAAAAACACAACACTACACAGCTACACTATGCACAATACTCAGACATCCATATGAAGTGGACAAGAGGAGATGCTGAATGTATGGGCACGGAGCAAACAGACCGATGCTGCAGTCACCGAGCCACCAGCGCCCAGGGTACGGAACGCAGTGCTGTGATTGGTTGCCTTCCATTCCATCAGCCAATAGTGTGCCGTGTACAATCTCATGTCAGCAAACTTGAGCAAGCAACAGTGTCGTATAGCATTTCCATTGTGTACGGTATGCTATTCATCCGCTGATGAAATACCTACTGTATTTTATTTTGAGTTAGTATCTTTTAATAGGTTTGAAGTAACATTTTTATATTTTTATATTGTTTTAAATTTTTGGCAAAAATAAGTAAAATTATAAATATCATATAAATACCTATATACCACAAAATCCTGCAATATAACAAAAACTCCACGATACAGATTAGATACGTTCTTTTTAAAAATCCATGATACAGTGAAGCTGCAATAAGTGAACCATGATATAGTTAGGGAGGATTATATGTGTGGTTTCGTTTATCTTACACCTGTAAAAGTGCATGAGGTGTGGACTGTTATTTGATTTTAAAGATTCAGACATTGCCTCTGAAGTATCACCATGCTCTTGTTTTACCAAAGTACAGGACACAAAGTTTCCTCCCTGTCCCACGATAAATGCATCCCCTCCCAGAATTTATCCGTTGTGACAAAAGGGACCTTTAAGCCCGAGACTTGACAGTACAGCATGGTGGACACAGAGATGGACTGCCGTTTTCTGAGCAAAGCAATTAGAGCTCAAAGTGAGAAATATATGGTGTGTATCATTGTGCTCATTGGAAATTTTGAATATTAATAGGGTCTCCTCGCTTTTTAAAATCTTGGCCGTGATCAACTCCACATATGAGAAAATAGGTGAGCAGTAAATATTAACCAATATGTTCTCCTCAGAACATTCAAAGAATTTTTCTAAAATAAGTTTGAGGAGGGCCTGGGATGTAGCTTCACGGCACAGCCTCTGCCTGTCAAGCACAAGGTTGTGAGTTTGATTTCTGGAACCACCAAAAGGCAGCCTCAACTGCAGAGTGAAATCTTGTCTCAAAAAAAAATTAAAAAGACAAAAAAAGATTACTTATAAAAGTAAGTTTGAGGATTCTCAGTTCTTCATCATGCATTTAGGAGTTAGCCTAGCACATGATGAGAGGATCTGGTGTATGAATAAGGTTATGAGTCAGACCAAAGGAAGAGTGTAGCTTAATCTACCTCAGCTCAGTGAAGGATGCATCTTGGATGGCCAAGTCCAGCCATCAGAATTTTAAACTTTGCATTAAAATGTAATCCCTATCTCCTAGTGTTTCCAGAATAACCAGGCAAATTTATGATCCTCACCTTAAAGTGTTTCAAACCTGTGCACTGTTCAGCAAGGCCAGGCTGCGTACTAATCTGAGCCTGATGCTTATTCAACCCCCAGGGTGGCAGGTGCGGGACAGCAGAATTAGGACCAATGGGGTTTCCCTGTCCTTGGCCCTCAGTCTTACTAAATAACTGATCTCTTTATGTATCTTGGCAACAAATGAAAGTAAGTGTCCTTAGAAGGACTACTTTTAAAGTACCTTAACTAAATGATAAACTAGTATATTTCCTAGATTATCTAATTCATATAATAAATGTTTTGACAAAAACCTTTGCACTAAATATTTGGCTAAGGCTGACCATTCTCCTAGCTGTATGTGCTTTAGCATCGGTTCGTAGAGTGGTCAGAACCCCACAAGGTCTTGGCAGGAAGCAACCTCATTAGATCTCTGCTTCGACCTCCCGAGACCCCCTCCTTCTGGAGAGTTTAGTGTCCACGTGTGCAGCCCGTGAGCCCCTCACCCTTCCGTCCAGGTCTGCTCACTCCTTTCACCTCCTGTGAAGACACTAAAGGTGGAGCAGGCAAAGGCTCCCACAGGGAACGGCAATGACCTTTGCTATATGAGAGCAAAATTGAGGTCATTTTCATCCTGTTCATGGTCTGCCACTGTCCTTCCTCATGTAGGCCACCTGATGGGGGCTCAATAGCCTGATCTCTCTTAGGACCTTCACGCCTCTCCATTCTCCTGAACTCAGGTGGTGTCTGGCTGGTGTCCATGGCAGCTACATAATGCAGCTCCTGGCCACAGCTGCTCACCTGGGCATAGCTCTCCCAGAGGAGCCAGCAAAGCCTGAGATCCCATTCAACGTGATGTCAACTCAAATAAAAACTAATTGCCAGTCTCACACCTGTAATCCCAGCATTTGGGAGGCTGAGACAGGAGGCTCCTTTAGAGTTCAAGGCCAGCCTAGACTACAAAGCGAGTTCAAGGCCAGCCTGAACTGCATAGTGAAACCTTGTCTCAAAAAAAAGAGGAAAAAAAAGATTAATTATAAAAATCGGAGATTTTGTGAAAATTGCCTGCCATTTGACACTTATTCCATAATTCATGCAAAGAACAGAATTTAATTTTCTCAATAAAGAAAAATATATAGCTCAGAACCACTCTTCCATTTAACTGATATTTGTATATAAGCCAGCCCTGAGCTGGACACTGAGCCGGCCACTAGTAGCAGCAGTAAAGGACACCTGGACCCCCACTGTCCTGGGCACTGAGCTCCATGACATGTGACAGTGAGGGACGCATGACTCTGGGGTCTGGAGGGCACTGGGAAACCTCCAGGACGAGGTCACCCAGGCCTGCAGGGGAAGCAGGGTCAGTCGAGAAAGAAACAAGAGAAGGGAGACCGGGAAGAGGGAAAACACTGAAAATCCCCAGTGAGATCCAAGAACGTGCAAATCCAGGGACTCTTCCTCCTCAGGGTCCTCCACTGACTTTTAAATGAAAAATATGTTCTAAGATCTTGACTTACATGTAACTATGGTCCCTCGATCCCTCCATGGATGAATCAACCTACATTGTTCCCCCTTTACCTCGGGCTCTGCTAGATCTCAGGATGAGAACACCAGTGATCATCAAGGTGACGGCCAGAAGCACCAGAAGCACAGCCAGGGCCACCGTCCAGGCGCTGACCTGGGGGAACAAGGCCTCTGAAAGACAGGAAGCAGCTGCTGAGACCCAGCTGGACACCGGCTGACTTGGCTGCTGGGCTTGAGTCATCAGGTGGTTTCAACAGGGAGAAAGTGGGGCAGAGATTCTGAGCCTCAGCCACACTGTGAATTTCAGGAACTCAGGACCTGAGGGTCTCCTGTGCCCTTGCCTCACTGATGTGATCCTCCTGATACCCAGGAAGGCCCTAAATAATTTGGAAGCTATGGCAATACGTGGAATATAGAAGCTAGTGCAACAAATATTCATGCATCTACCATTCAGGCTGAATCCCACATTTATACATGGGACGTGCAGAAGTGTTCATGAATACAAGCGTACTGAGTGCAGGAGATTCTCTTCCCCTCACTCTTCAAGGGAACTTGCCCCGGGCCTCTCTGTCCAGTTCTTCCCACCTGTCCATAGCTGCGAGCCCAGCCTTATGTGAGGACTCAGGTGGGGACACGCTACAGTTAAAGCGGGGGTGTGGACTCGTGTCAGAGGATAAACAATGTAGATGTCAAGTCCACGCCTGAAGGGCAGCTCCAGCTCCCAGCAAGGTTCATCTGAAGGTGTGACTGTGCAAGACTTAAATTTGAAAAACTGACTGTCTATGATGATAGTTTCTATCTATATACTAATGTAACCTTAGAGGAGAAATAAGGACATTTTCATTCAACAATGATCTTCCATCCATAATTTTTAAAAAATGCTTACATATGAATAAACAAATCAGACAATTGCTGTGTGGTGGATTATCAACTGGTGGTCAACTTGTAACGCACACCTGAACTAAACCAGCACAATGCTAGATGCAGAAGGCCCTGAGGATTGGTGCCAACAAAATAAAAAGGAGAACCGAAGTACAAGTGCCGTTAGGGAGCTGTTGGTTCTCCTGGTGCTGTTGTTTCTCCTGGAGCAGCTTGTCATGCCGGCTTTCCTGATATGAACTCGGCTGTTCTCATTGTTGGAGGACCTCAGGACATCGTTCTCATTGAGAATGGCTGTGGTACTTTGGTGGGGAGCTTTGGTCCTAACTTGGAGTGTTACTTCCTGGTTCCAGTGCAAATCCCTCAGTCTGCTAACACAGATCCGTCAGCCCCCTGGTCTGGAATTTCTAGGTTCCACCAATGACTTTTAGGCCTTCCCAGTGCAAATCCGTGAAATAGACTTCCATCAGACATTGTCATGGGCTCTAGGTCTTCATCAGCTGGACTCATGCAGCACATTGTCATAGGATCCAGGGCCTCAGATGGATTCTTTCGGTGTTTAGTGTATGGACAGATTTCCTACATTCTTTTCTATATGATTCTTTGGGTGACTATTATAAAATAATAATATACATTATGTGTCCTGTATTGTTTTCTTTGAAAACCCTGACTACAACATGCTGTTTAATCACTTATTCATAATTGGTTCAAATTATATAAATATGAAGATGCATTCTTTATTTACATTGTGCTGGACCATACAGGTTTCAGGGGTCTTCTGGCACTAGGATTCATGATCATTATGTTTCTTAGCTCCAACTGTTCATTCTCTCCAAAATATTTGGCAATCTTCTATTGGTACAAAAGTCTAACTACACAATCAAGGCTACTATATCACCTCAATTTTTATTTTTCTAACGTTCTCATTAGAAACTTCCTCCTCTGATACATAATTTTCTCTTTATAATTCCTACTTCAAAAGCTCTCTCTTTACCTACATTTAATGTGTGTAAGTTATGAAACTAAATCACAAAAAGGACATTTTTCTACTAATTCTTCCAGACATTAATTTCTATATCAGTTTGGCAATATATATTTGGTATTAATTTATTTACCTATAGTGGGGATATTTAAGAATTAGAATGCAATATCTGCAACAGTTTATACTCCACTTGGGGATACAAAAATATACAATTCAGAATAAACATGAACTTAGAGAGGAGCTTAGTGTGTGCTGAGCTGGCGCGGCTCCTGGAAAGGGCGCAGGTGTCAGGGACCAGCAGGAACTGCTCCTGTGAGGAGACAGAAGGAGCCCCGCAGTCAGCGCCATGGGCGTCGGTGCTGTGTGGGGCGGGAGATGGCGGAGAAGGAGAGAAAGGGGCAAAAGCTGAGGCTGGGGAGAGGACAAATGCACAGGGAGTGCGCAGCGAGTCCACAGGCTCCGCAGTTCCTCCGAGACTGAGGAGAGCAGTCACGGAAGCTGCAGGGAGCATCGGAGCCACACGGGACTCCTGGGAGCGGTCACTGCGGACGGAGCACAGCGCAGACTGCGGCGTGCAGCTCTTCTCCGCCCTCGGATGCCTGACGTGAGTCACTGCTCACGACGGTCTAACGACACAGACAGCGGGGTTATTGCTGTTTAACAGCGGTCTGGACAGACAGTGGCCCGTGCTTGCCCAGTGTCACAGGGCCAGCAGATGGCAACGCCAGGACTTCGGCTTGATGTGACACAAGGAAGAATATACTCATTATTATGCAGGGGTCTCCCTTGGTGAAAGTCATTTGACAAGTTTGGCATGAACTTCAACATATTCTTCAAAATACTGTTACACACAAATGTTTTCCTTATCTATGATATCATTTCTTATGAAATGAAATAGTGGTTTACTACATAAAAGAAAGAGCAAGACAGGCATATTTACCTGACTTTCCAAATAAGACTTGGAAATGGATGAGCTGGACCACTCTTCCAGTCTTTCCATCAGGGGTCACTGCGAGCCCACCTCCCTCCTCAGCACTGACATCGCAGGATGAGGGCTCTGAGGAACTCACCTGCCAGTGAGAGATGCACCTCCTTCTCCTCTCTGAGCACAGGGTTCTGGACTGCACAGGACACATCTGCTCTTGAGCTTTCCTCCACTGTGACGGAGCTTTCCACGTGGATCAGGCCGTCTCCTCGTACAGACATCTTCACAGAGTCAGGTGACAGAGATCGTCCTTGTGGGTCCCTCCACTGGAGCTCGGGGTCTGGGTACCACCCCGAGGACGAGCAGGTCAGCGTAAGGCTCCCTGTGTGCGCAGGCTGAATGTGGATGTTAGGAGTTGCACCTGAGGCTGGAGGAATCGGGGGGGGGTAAGTGATGCTTCTTTGTGAGTTTACAAACATGTCAGATGGGCCAGTCAGCTGGTGCTTACTAATGAACCTCTCTATGAATCTCAGGTCTACATTTGTGAAAACTGAATTACAGAAAAGCTGGACATAAAGTATTTCCCTGCACAATGGCTTAAATAAATCAAATTAACAGCAACACTGGGAAAAATATGCAATACCAAGCTGTTCCATATCTTTTATTTCCCTTTCCTCCTTTCGGTTGCGGGCTATATTTATCCTTCAATCTCATGACTCCTGAAGTGGATACTGAAACACTCTGCCCATCCAGTTGGAGCTGAGAGCTGCAGATCACACAGCATCCCGTGGTTTTCTGTGTAAAATATAGCTGATCCCACAGCATTCACTTAGCTCTTCTTGATCTGCAGCAGAACCCTCCACAGGAACTTGTGATGGGGACAGTCCTGTCCCCGTGGTCCAGTCCATCAGACACCAGCATTGTGTGTGTGTGAAGCACATACAACATGATTGTAGAAACTAAAAGCTGTTCCATTTCACTCCGTATCCATTCAGTTTCAATGTTCAGGGCAACAGACAGCTAAAACACCATATTGGGGGGCACATTTCAATGCACGTCCTATCTGTGCGCACGCCTGCAGCTAAGCACTGCATAGGCCCAGGGTACCTTGTACGTATGACTGCACTTAAGATGCCCATGCAAGCCACGTGCTGGACGTGCCCTGAGCACTCTTTGGCCAGGGACCACTAGGCGGAGGCACTGATCCACTCCCCCGGGGTTTCTCCCCTCTCCCCAGGGCTGGCTTGCGGTCCTCCACAAAGTGGACAGGACGGCTTCACTGAGGGGAGCTGGAGCTCAGAATGAAGGACGTGCAGACCTCACAGTGTCCACCCACTCTCCCACCCCAGGCTCTTTGCTTCTTGCTCTCACAGCAGCACTGGGTCAGGACGAAGCCCAGCATGCAGCAGGGCGGTGCACACAGCAGATGCCTCACCTGCTCCCATGCTGTGTCTGTCCACAGGACCGGTCTCGGGTAAGGAGGTGGGGAGAGGAAAATGCAGCCAGGAGCAAGAGGGGAAGCTGCAGCTCTGAGCTCTGGAGGAGAGCAGCCCTGCTGAGGGCAGCACAGGGACTCCTTGAAGGGAAACGGTGGAGGGGGCAGCGAGAGGCTCTGGGTCACTGCAGAGACTGCATCTCCAGAGGGAACAGATTCCTGACCTGGGCCTCACTTTGCTCCTCCAGGAGGATGGGGCAGACTAAAGAAATGAGGGCCAGCGGCCACACAGCTAGGAAAGCACAGCTCCTGAGAGGGTCCATGAGGTTCAGCTCTGAGCAATCAGCCCAGGGGTTCAGGTGTCCTCTGAGATGTGTTCATGATGAGGAAGGATGAAATTTGGATAATGTGCGACATAATTTTTTCTACTGTATCATAAGAGAAAATGCAAAAGAAAAATGAAATCTTTCACACAGCATTAAAAACAGACAATTTCCTGGAGAACATAGGAAGAAGACACCAGTGAATTTGGGAACCTGTCTTTCTATGCAAAAACATTTGGATCCTACAGAACTTATTTGTGATTTTTTATTATTTTAATTTTGAACCTCAGGGACAGTGTAAAAATTTACATCTGCAAACTTAGTTACAGGGGCACAAATTCCGAATATAGTTAAAGCTGGGATTGCAAGTAACTTGTTTTGTGAGTGATCCACAAGAGGATCAAACATTTCTAATAAACTTTACTTTGATAATCAAGGGATGTCTGGCAATAAGAGTGGTATTTGATGTTGGATGTCACATGACCACTGCTGAGCTAATGCACCACCCCCACTGCCCAGACTGTTTTACTCCATCTCCTGGGAGTGTGGGTGATCCTCTCCCAAAAGAAACAGGTTTTGGAAGAGATTTTGTCCGCAGAGGAGGAGGAAAAAGGGTGAAGGAATTGCACACTTCAAATGAGATTAGAAAGATGTGTCAAATGTGAGAAAATGCAAAATTTTCTTGCAAATCAACACCAGAATGAGGGTGTAACAGTATGAGCAATGAATCTATTGATAAACAGTGCCCTGTCACATTTCAGCACAATGCTGAAAAGGAGGCAAAAGCAAATGCCAGTGGACAGGATTCCTGTGAAAGCTGCATAAAGAAGAAAAGAATCCACGGAGTCAGTAGACAGCAGTGATTCCATTAGTGACAGTGAAAACTGTTCTACTCAGTGACCCTCCTCTCTCTTGTCTCCCTCACACCAGCCATGAAGGATTTCAAAGCTCATGGCAGGTAAATTTCTTCATTTTAAAAATATTTTGTATTTATTTACTACTTTAAATTTTGTTACAGAATTGAAATAACTTTTTATGAATATTTTTGGGTTGTGGAACAAATCATCCGGGCTTCCATTATTTCTTACACAGCATTTGTTTGATACACAAGTGCTCTGGATTACAAGAGTGCTTCTCGAACACATTATGCTTGCAAACCAAGGTTTCACAGGATCTCACTGCTCAGGGAACATGAGAAAACCAACTGAACCTCCTGGACAGGCTGAGATTTCTCTGGCTCCATAAAGCGAGTAGGGTTAAAGCACATGATATCTGGTAGATGTAAGCAGTGGAAATTAGGAAGCTTGACACTGGCTTCATCTTCATTTAAAATTCTGTTGTGTGTGATGTGCATAGGATAAACACACACCACCTCTGCCTTATTCCATTCTGGAACCCAGGGAGGTGATGCCTCTGAAAACCTCTCCTGTTGGACCCATGAGATCCAAACAGAGATCCCAGCAGGTGGTCAGGGAAACACTGCTGGTGTCAGAACAAACTCCAGGGCAGGCAAGACAGCTGGTGTCTAGCCAGGAGCTTCAGGATGGGAAGTGCACACTGCTCAGTATGCGGGAATAAAGTGGAGCTCAGGGTAAGCTGATTCCTGTGCAGTGTGGAATCGCTCTGTGCCAAAAGAGAAGTCTTGGGACAGGACAAGTTAAGCTGCTGCAGAGGAATGAAGGACTGGGCCAGGAGACACAAGGAGGAGCTGGCTTCAGATTCAAAGCCACTTATGAGGTTTTTATTTACATAAGTAAACGTTTACTGGACACAGTTGCACACATGCTAGAGAATAATTGCAGCGCCTCTAGGAATGGATGTTTTGGGGTCTCCCCAGGTGTCCCCACAGGAGAGTGAAGATCTCACCAGAAGGTGAGGCTGGGTGGGGGAGGAGCACAGTCAGGCTCAGCCAGCCCTGCAGGCCCCTGGGCAAGTGCATCAGGCAAGTGCTGCTCCTCTGCATGCAGAGGGCACGTGCAGGGCATGTGTGTTACCTTATAGAAGACGGGGGCCTCCTAATCCAGAGAGGGGCTGACCTGGGTCCCAGGGCCACAGAGATTGGAGAGAGGTAATGCAGTGCTTGATTGATTGTGTCAGCTTGAGAAGTTTAGAAGTTTAACTGAATCTGTTCAGACATTCTCCACCCTCGCTTGTACCTAGAATCTACCGTAAGGCAACCTGTAATTTGGAGAGCAGAAAGAGGAAATGAGGAAGGATGAAGTGACTTCTGAATCTCAGAGGAGCTGCAGTCTTCACATTCAGCTTGGATGTCATCTCATGGCTTCTTCTAGTGCAGACGCTTTGGCTTCTGTCCTGGATTCTTCAGTCTATAGGAGTAGACTCTGACCCTTCTGCAGAAATCTGAGTCCAGAGGGTGACAGAGGAAGAGCAGGCAGGAGCACATGTGATGGTAAAGAGCACAGCCAGGATGTAAGGAAGTGAGGTTGAGAAACCCGGCGTTTGAGAGTGGGCCGCCCAGTCCTTCCTGTCCCTGTGCGCCTCCTTCTGGCTCTAGCAAGTGAGAAGGAAATCCCTAGACTGACATGTGTTCTGAGACGCTTGGAGTGAGAACACACTGGATTCCATGATCTAACCTGCCCTTCAGCAACTATGTTCGCAAAGATAAATGATAGGAATCTATTTCTATTAAACAATAAATCATGCTACAAAGGCAAATTAGATGAATTTGAACTCTAACACCTGGCATTCAATTATGGTGTTTATAAAGACCCAGCCACACTTTTCCGTATGTACAATTGAGTCCTGGTTGAATTTAAAAAAGTATATCAATTCATTATTTTCAGTGCTTACCTGTGACATGCAGCTCAACCTGTGCTTGGCTGAGCTGTGTGTATCTTACAAAGACACAGCTGTACTCCCCTTCATCTTCAAGGTATATGGGATGGATTCTCAGGGCCACCTGGCCTTGGGTGATGTTCTCTCTTAGGAGCTCTGTCCTCCCTTGGTACTCGGGACTCTGTTGCTCCGTGTGGTCCCGAGAATCCCTGTACTCGTGCACCAGTACCGATTGGTGGTCTCGGTACCATCTGATCTCCATGTCCTGAGCATCCTCGGGTGGGCTGAGGTGGCAGGGAAGCACAGCCGCTTCTCCCACCCGGGCAGTGACTGGTGACCCTGGTCCCTTCACTTGGAACTGCCCTGGAGGTGATCAAGAAGAGGGCAGAGTCATTGTAGAAGGCATGGAGGGCACGGTAGTTGCTTTCTAAGAGCAGAGGAAAGACATCAGGTCATCTAACCTGATGAGCTTGGACAGTTGATGAGCAGAGCTAAAGTAGGAGGTGCAGGTTCACATTTAGCCTAGGAGATCACAGGGCTTTAAGCTAAATGTGAAGTAGTCATAGGACCTTAAGCTTACTTAATTTTTCCAGTTTGCCTAGGGTTGTAATTCAAATTCATATGAAGCTGTGTATTAAACCTTAACACCCTGAGTTTTTGAGACCATTATTATTTTCAGATGAAGAATTTGAATCAGTGAGTGTGGAGGACCACCTAGGTGACTCTTCTTGAAGGAGGAGCTTGTCTCCATTTTGGCTGAGGCTGACCCTATTTCCATGTATTGATGTGTACAGAGCTGGCTAGGGTTTTTCCTTACCCTTCAGCTGGGTTTAAGCAATGCATATTGGTCTAGCCAAGGTACTGATGGGAATCTCTGGAGATGGCAGGCGTGATTCCCCAGCCCCCTGTTGCTCCCTTGAGCAAGACAGGATGAGGGGGATGTGTGAGCCAATGCTCCACACTGTCGTGGTCTGCTGGGGTCCAGCCTTGGGATAGAGGCTATGACTTCCTGGGGCTTCAAAGATTACTCATCAGAGCTAAAGCACCAACCCCAAAACATTAGGTACTACTGCAATTGTGTCACGCAGATTACTCTTTCTGCAGATCCTTCTCTCTGCGTTTGCAGAGGTGATTTCAGGCCTCCTGCCTAGCCCAGCTCATGGCACTCACCTACTTCCCACAGTTCTCACAGTCACTCAGCCTCAAGCCACTCCTGTCTTCATGAATGAATAAAACCTGGGTTCAGGCTTGGGTCGAGGTCTTTGTTCCAAATGGCCATCATTTGGCTGGACTTAAGATCCTCGGCTCCCTGTAACTACAGATATGCCTTAGTGTCTTTACTCTCCCCATGGGTTGCACTGGAAGTAGTAGATTAAAATTAACTTGCTAGAATTCCAGTAACTGTTCATGGGATTTCAAATCTTGGGTTGTGATGAGGACTGGGAAGGGCTCTCAATAAGCGAGTGCTTTAATACCTTATCACATAATACATAATAATGGAACATAAAATGACTATTTCAAAATAGTTTCAAACATTTTATTGCTTTAAAGCATATATTACTCAGTGTCATATAATCATATAAGACAACTAAATGTGAAAACATTAAAACTAATGTTTTTCTAAGCAGAGAGTAGAACATTTTAGAAAGTTAACATCTGTGTCTCCATCAGAATGCTCAGACCTGTGAGCTATTACCTGGCCAACTCCATAACTGTGGATTCTACACCTTGGTTCAGCCACCGACAATTTGGACCTGATTCTTATAGCCACCACCACACCAAGGGAAAAGGATGGAGAGAGTCCTTACCCAAGAACTCAGACTGGATAAGACTCTGCAAAGATGCCTGCATCCTGGCAGAAAGAGGTCCTGAATCTGAGTTAACTCCAGCTTTGCAGTGGAGGGGTCGTATGTGTAACTGGGGTGTGAACATTCAGACTGGAATTGGGCAAAGAAGCTAGTTAGGAATCACATGTGCAATGGCATGTTGGAATATCTCATCTGTGTTCCCATCAGACATCTTGTTGGGTTAAGTTCCTTACATCTCTTGAGTTATTTGGTAACATGATATTATATTCTTTTATGGTTTCATGAGTGTATTACATGGATAAACTTCATATTTGTGCTTTCACTGGCTCTTATCCAGCAGGTGACTAGGTTCTGTCCCTTGTCTAGAGAATAGACAAGGCAGAAGAGTAACTGTAAGGACTATCATATAGAAATGTTCTAAGATTGAATCTGTGGATGCTGCTATAAATTGGAGCAGTTCTTGTGACAAAACTTCGGACAGAATCAAAACCACTTAAAGTAAATAACAGACATAATAAATACTAGAACTGCACAAACAAAGCTGAAAATTATTTATGGGGAGGCAACCTCCTACTAAAAAGCTCCACATAGCCACACATTCTCCTTACTTTTCTAGTAACATCTGCCCCCCAAAAAGTGGAGGAGTAGAAAGAGGGGGACATATACAATTTATATATATATATTTTTTTTTTTTTTAAATAAATACCAATACAAGTAGGAAAATGGGGAATAGGGAAATAGAAGATCTCCTAACCCCTCTTCAGCTCCCCTAAGGTGGGGCAAAGGGTCACAAAAGGAGATGAAAACAGTTACCAGATAGGAGAAATCTGTGTGTACTTCTTAGAAGATATGAAAAGAGAAAATGAACCACAAGTTTACAGCAAATACACTCCATGTGCCCACAGTGAAGTGGAGGGAATAAGGAAAAGTGGACGGGCTAACCATTACAGTGCAAAATTTGAATGACAGTTTCAACAAGGGTATGGAATCCTCAACAAGAAGTCAGAAAGCAAGATCTGAAAAAAAAAAAAAAAAGCATAATATTCACCCATTCCAGAAATGACCAGTGTGAAGACAGAGTATCTGATATGGAGGACAAAATAGTCAATTACAATAAAAAGCCCAAAAATCCACAAAGAAAATGAGAGCACAAGAGAAGCCTATTCAGCAAGTACCAGATGACAACATGAAAATAATCTAAGGCTAATTGGAGTTACAGAAAATCTAGAAGATTGCACACATGTATTTACCAACACACATATAAATTATGGAAGAAAATTTACCAAATATAAGAACAGATTTAAGATTCAAGTAAGTGATGCTTATAGAACTCCAAACAATTATGATGAAAGGTAAAGTTTACCAGGGCAAATCTTCATTAAATTCACAGATGTCATTCAGAAAAACACAATTTTAAAGGAAGCCAGATGAAAACAAAAAAAGTTACATATAAAGATAACCCAATTAGGATCACAGTACACTGCAAAACCTGCAGACTAGAGGAGCTTGGAGAGAAGTATTTCAAGCCTTAAAAGCAAATAACTTCAAACTCAGATTAACTTCTCCAGCAAATCTCTAGTTCAAAATAGATTGAAAACTATGGCATTTCATGAAAAAGACAGCTCAGAAGACATAAGAGCGCTAAAGCACTCTAGAGAAAACACTATTCCTGACAGAAACCACAGATCGGACATACCTAAAACACAGAAGGAACTAGAGAGGTCATCACAAAACAGCAGGAAAGTAAAACAAATGATATACCAACCGACAAAGGTAGTAAATACCAACAATGGTAGCAAACAACCAGCACAGCTTAGTAAAACCCTCAGAATGAATGATCTCAACTCTCCAATCAAAAGACACAAAACTGGCAGACTAGATCAAAATACAAAATCCAACAATGTCTTGTATTCACGAATCTTACCTCATCCAAAGATATATCATACACTAATAATTAAAGGATGGAAAACAACATTCCATGTAGCAGGACCTGGAAAACAAGCAAGGGCATCAATTCTGATATTAGACATGCAATATATCAAGTTAAAATGGATTAGAAGAGACAAAGAAGATTACTACATGTGAGTTAATGGAACAGTTCAACAAGGAAAGATAACACTGATCAGCACATATGCACAGAATGCTGAAGAATCTACCTTCACTAAGCAAAAACTGCTGAAGTTCAAGACCAAATAAACATTAACACAATCATGGTAAAGGATTTTAACACCCTACATGCACAAAGAAAGATTAAATAAGAAAATCAGTAAAAATATTTCAGTGCTGAAACACATCCTCCAATATATGTATTCAATAGATACATACAGAGCATCCCACTCCTCTACAACAGAGTATATATTCTCTTCAGGAGTACATGATTCTTCTTCCAAAATAGATCACACACTGGTCCAGAAAGCCTGCTTTAGTACATATAAAAGAATTGAAATCCCCCATGCATACTATCCAACCACTGTGCAATGAAAACAGAATTCAATGACAGAAGAAATTTTGGGAAGAGGGAAAAAATTAATGAAAGAAGGAAGGCAAAATATAAATATATATATGAATAGCTACGATAACTGTGTTGCTGATGTCTGATGGTGTATTGAAATGAACAGTTAACACTTACAATATTTTATGTTCTGATTGATTTTCCATGATTTTGTCTGGTGGTCTGAGCAGCTGATTGGAAGGTAACAATATGCACTGGAATTACAACGGTGAACTCCTATCTTGTCTAGTGAAACTCTGTATTATCTCTAATATTTTATTGAAGAATTATTTTCTTATTCTCTTTAATGGTTTGACCAATCTTTCATTCTTACATCTGGTAATCTGAGCAATGTAGTTGAGGATAGCGATATGTAATGTAACGACCACTGTTGATTCATATTATTTTGTGTTTTAGACCCTGTATCACTTTGAATGTTCTTGCTTTGATTTGTTTATGTTTATGATACTGGTATGCTGCTATTGTTCTATTTTTTTGTTTGTTTGTTTCTCATTCACTACTCTCTCTAAAATTAAAAGAACATTAACAACGTACTTCTAAACAACCTATAAATCACAGACAAAATAAAAAAAAGTTTAAGAAACTGTAGAAGTGAATGATAATAATATTCAACTCAGCGAGTCCTCTGCAACAATGTGAAAAGAGGAAAATTCCTCACAGTTAATGCTCATATTAGAAAAGAAAGCAGGTCCAGGTAAACAGCCTCATGAGAAACCTCAAGATACTTGAGGAACAACAGCAAGCCAACCTCAAACTACTCGGCCCTAGGCACAGGTCTACTCTGGGTGCCAGCAGGGTCAGCGCATGACCTTAGGGAGATGCATGCAGTGTCCAGAGTCAACTTCAGACAAGGTTTTCAGAACAGAATTCAAATGGAAAAATATGGAAATAGGGCTGTGCAATTGGGCAGGGAAGGAGAGAAAGGAGAGAATAAAGGTGTGTTGTGTACATGGACTGATCATCCAGGAGGTTTGTGGTTATAATGTACTGCACCCATGGGAAAATAAAATATAAATTTAAAATATACAAAAAGAAAAGGTGAGGTGCAAAACTGAAAATTACTTTAAAAAAGATTATTTAAACATGTTAATTTGTACTGTATTAATAAAAAACAAGTGTGAGGCACTGCAGCATTCCGTCCTGAAAAGTGAGGAGACAGGGAGGGAAGGAGGGCGGAGAGGGCGCCCGGCGGAGGCCCAGACCTCGGGGGCAGCGCAGGCTGAGGCCTCTGTGCACGGGGAGCGCAGCGGGGTCCAGCCCGCCCGCTCCTCCTCACTCACCTGCGCCTGGCCAGGGCAGCAGGAGCCAGAGCAGGAGGGGCCTGAAGCTCGGGGCCCGGCGCTGCATCCCGGCGGCTCAGGGTGAGGTCGGGCCCTGTCCTCGCTCCGTCACAGCCATGGTCCAGGCCGGTCCCCTGTGGTCACTCTCCTGCAGGACAAGGGGAAACTTAGTCCTGGACAGAACACATAGGTGCAGGGGCTTGGAGGAGGAGTCAGTGTGCTCTTACTCCATCTTTTCTAAACTCAAAATAAAAAAATAAACAATGCCACTTGGAAAAAGCCACAGGGTCCAGCAATTCTATTAACAAATACAGGTAGGAAGCTGCTTTCTTCCCTCATGGCCTCAGGAACCCAGAGTAAATGCTGGCAGTCTGGACCCCTCTGCCCTCCCCTGATCCCCACATACTCATGCTTCTCTGCACCAAGTGCTGTGGTCCCAGGTCTCTCCGACGAGGAGTCACCACACAGGGACGCGTGGGCGGAAGCGCAGCAGAAGAGTTACTCACATTCCGGAGGGGCAGCTGCCAGCAGGGCCCCCAGGGAGCCGCCCAGGGCAGGAGACGGCCGCTGAGCTCAGAAGCAGCCTGTGCCCGTGAGGAGGCGGTCGGCTCCGTCTCACCCTGCGGACGGGCTCCTCTGAGCGAGGTCCTGGGCTCTGGGCACAGGTCCGTCCTCGCTGTGCGGTGGCGGGTGCCAGGCACACAGGGCAGGTCTGAGGGGGCCTGATAAGGACGGTGCTCGGGCGTGGACTTAATCAGCTCTTCAAGAGCTGCAACGGACCAGCCTCTTGCCTGAGCCAGAAAATAAAGAAAATGGAGCCCTTTTTCTTTGAAAGAAGCTGTAATATTATTAGTACCTTGATGTCTTAATATCGGCTATGTGCCCATTTTTTGGTATATGTAGGTGATGTACATAGTGGAAGAAATTATACAGAATAAGAATGAAGTTACTTTAAGTGGTGAAAATAATATTTTCTCATGGGCATGAGAAGGAGGAAAATGAATCCTAATACAATTAGTCTTTGTACATTTGCTGCAGCAATGTTTTTAACTTTTATGTCACTATACAAAGGAGAGATCTGAAATTTATCAGATGATAATTATTTTCCCAATGTGGGCGTCCTTTCTTCATGTAATGACACCTCCAAGTGTTTCTTGGATTAAATGAGGAGGTTTGAGTCATGCTGTTGGCTGATACGAGCTTGAAGGTAGATGGGTGGGTGGTTCTCTCTCTGGAGACTGAGGGTAAAGACCAACCTGATGCTTAAAGAAAATAATACTCTTCATTGCCTTTTAGAATAGCCCAGATTTTAATGACCTTCATAAGATTTTACTAAGGTCATGGAGGTATACAAGGGCATATTATAGGAGACAGTATGCAATACAGTAGAATAATGCCTAAGCAGACAGAGAGCTCAAGAAATACAAGATTCCCTAACAACAAAGGAAAGAAAAAAATGTCAAATTTACCAGTACATTGGAAAGCCAGGCCATAGTGTCATCTAGGATAAGGTTTGTGTTTCACGTAAAGCCATGTCCAGAGCTCCTGTCCCAGGCCATTGTCATCAGGGATGGCCCGATATTTGTCTTAGAAAGTCCATACAAAGTGGGATTAGTGTGAAGCATGATTTTAGCTCTGTGTGTAACCACAGTGAGACACTTATAAAACTGGAAATGTCCAACGTGGAGGCTCTACTTCTCTACATCATTGAAATCAGGAGACACTGTGAGGTGAACACCGGGTCTGTAACTGAGGTTGAGCTCAGGTGCTCTCCTGTGTCCAGGCTGTCTCTCGTGAGCCTTCTTTCCTGCAGGGCTAGAACACCTTAGGGAACCATACCTGGTTCTGCCAGTGTAGTGGACTGACAACTGGTGGTCAACTTATAACCCTCAGCTGAACTGAGTAAGCATGATGCTGAGTGTGGAAGGCTCAACTGAGGATTGTTGCCAGCAGCATAAGAGAAGAAGGGAGGCTGTTGGGAACTGAGAAAGCTGTTGGGAGCTGGTAGAAGCTGTTGGGAGCCTGTTGGAAGCTGAGAGAAGCTGTAAGGAGCTGCTGGTTCTCTCTGAGGAGTTCATCATGCTGGCTTTCCTGATGAACTTGGCTGTTTTCATCCTCCAAGGAGCTCGGGACTTTGTTGTCTTTGAGAATGCTTCAGTTCACTTTGGGGGAGCTCCGGTCCTCACTCTGAGCATTGCTTCCTGGATCCAGAGGGGAAGATGGCATATTTCTCAGTCTCCTGGAGGAGCTCGCTGCATTGGTTTTCCTGATGGGAACTCAGCTGTCCTCATCCTTGGAGGAGCTCTGGACCTCACTGTTGCTGAGGATGGCTGTGGTACTTTCAGGGGAGGTCTGGCTCTTACTTCGAGCATTGCTTCCTGGCTCTAGTGAAGATTCCTCAGCTTGCTGGCACAGATCCTTCATCTCATTGGCATAGATTTTCTAGCTTCCACCACTGACATTTGGGCCTTCCGGTGCAGACCCATGAAACAAGCCTGCATGAGGTATTGCTATGGGCTCTAGGTTTCCAGTTGGACTCGTAGGAGGCATTGTTATGAGCTCTAGGTCTTCAGCTGAACTCATGCAGGACATTATTGTGGGATCCAGGTCCTCAGCTGGATTCCTTGGTCTTTAGTGTGTGGACAGATTTCCTGCACTCTTTTTACATATGATTCTTTGGGTGACTATTATAAGTAATCTCATAAAATATGTATCCTGTATTATATTGTTCCGCTTGCAGTAAGCCCCAAACCACGACAGCCACGTACTAAAACTGCCCCGGTCGTCACGCTGAGCTTGGTGACACCCAGTTTTATATCAAAGCATCATGGACAGGAGACTGCGTAGGGTCACAGGGTCAAAGACGGCCTCTATTGCTAGGAAACCTAAGTGTCTGCCCTTTCCGCTTTCTGTAAGGCAGTTCCCATTTTCATGACACAAAGCAACGTCCTCCCGTCAGAACCCCATGCGTTCACCTTCATTGCACTGTGTCGCCTGCGCTGACTCGCGCGCCCCCTGGCGGAGGAGCAGCGCACTTCCCGGCGTCTGCGTCCTGTAGCAGGAACCTCACCCCGGCTGCCCTGGGCTGTCTCTGCTCGGCTCCCCTCCAGGACCTGGCCGCTCTGCCCAGCAGGCCTCGCCCTCCCGATGCTCCTGCCGGAGCATGGAGACCCTGGACTGAACCCAACACCAGGAGCTACAGCAACCCTGCCGGAGTCTGAGGCGCGCTGTGTCCAGCAAGAGAGAAGCAGCGCTGGAGGCTGTGTGCCATCCCCCTGCCCGGAACAGGGTCGTCAGACGGACTCCTGCAGGGACGGGTGGGGGCCTGGAGCCCGGGGACCCTGCTGCCCGGCACAGGCTGCAGGATGCTGCGCTTCGGGCGCTGCGCCCTCCTTGCTGCCTCCCCTGGAGCCCCTCCCTCTTCCTCTCCCCCTTGTCTTGCTTCCACCCCCTCCGTTCCCCTCATCCCTTCCAGTCCCCCTCTCTCCTCCTGGCGAGTCCAGCAGGGTGCCCGGCTGGGAACCAGCTCCTCGAGCTGCACAGGCCCTGGTGTGAAGCAGACTTACTCCCGCGGTGCTGTAACCACCAGGGACTCATGTCTCAGGCAGTGCGGCTCTGACGGTCCTGGGAGTCTACTTGGGACTTTCACCCTGAGTGGTGTGGACAGAGGTCATTTCAGGAGATGCAGCAATAAACACTACTGGGGACCTGGCCAAGATGCCCAACTGTCTGTTTGAGATGACAGCAAAGGATAAAACAAACAAACAAAACAGAAACTAATTCAGTAATCTATGACATGGGGGCTGGGACATTGAACCCTCAGGATGGGCAAAGGCAAGCAACTCTCCAGGTTTTATTTTTCCAGAGAGAAGGGCAGGGGCAGGGGAGGGAGCTTTTGCTGGAAGCAGGAAGGAGTGCTGGAATGCGCAAGTTTAAGATCATAAAAGAAACAAGATTCCTTCCCACATCGGGTGCCTGCCCGCCCTGTATGGCCCTCAGCAGACCCAGTCCTGCCCTCTGAGCGTCACAGCCTCGTGGCCAGTCAGCCCAGCTGTGGCCAAGAAACAGTGGGGACTTCCCTCTTCCAGGTGGCCCGCTAGGCAGGGCAGGGAGGGGCTGGGACACATTCTATCCTCAATATGAAGTGTGCTTCCCCACTAAACACTAAGGGCCCTTAGCACTGAAGAGCTCCAGAGCCCAGCAGCCAGCAAAGATCAGCA